GTGATTAAAATTGGTTAATTAATTGAGTGGTTAACGGATAGAATGGTTAATTAGACAATGAATAAGTGAAGAAGAAAGGCATTGGAACTTTTGATCAATATCGGATAATGTTCAAATGATTTCCATAAAAATTGGACTTTGCTATTAGAAATTAGGAAATGAGATAAGATGGCTTCATTATGAGGTTTTTTTTGTTATATCAATTGATTTTAATCATTCGTGAGCAATTCTTAATTTTTTATTAACGGAATAAATAAGTAGTATTTGGATATTAATAAATGCAATACATGAAAACCATTAGATTTTCATATATTGTTTGGTTATTTAGAATGCATCTTTATTGAGAATTTGATATTTTAATCGAAGTAAGTATTTCTAAAATTCAAAGATCATCAAAGACCTCATCAAAGTTTGTTGCAATTATGATGCTGAAAGAATTATCATGTTAATTTGTTCAAGATTTTCATACAAAATGGTTTTTAGAAAAAAGATACTCATTTAGGCAATCTTCGCAAAAATGAAATTGAAATGCAAAAATTAGCGTAAAAAAGTTTGGAGAATTGTTGACAGCGTAAAAAAGTTTGGAGAATTGTTGACAGCGTAAAAAAGTTTGGAGAATTGTTGACAGTTATGTAAGTGTTCATAAAATAAAGTGCAAATAAACATTATTGGCAGTGAACCATTTTCTAAATCGATATCATTTTAACAATGATAACATAACATCTTTGATGATTAGTTAGTTATTACGAAAATATATTCGATTAAAAGTTTTTCCGATAAGATAGGATAATTTACTCAGGAAGGATATAATATAGATTAAATCGATACTAAGTAAAATCTATTTCTTCTTTTTTATTTTAGATTAATGTTAAAGATAATAATTTCTTTAATCTATACTAGAATAACGTAGTAAGAATTGATTTTAATTAAAATGCATTGACGAATTAAATTTTGTAAGGTGTTGCTGAGAAGTTCAAATAGAAGTTACTAAGCTATTTCTTGATAATTGCATGAAATTAAATGAGAATAAATTACTATAATAATAATAATAATAATTTTTCAAATCAGAGTTGTTCTTTTTTATATTCCTGATGAATTAAGATGAGTTTGTCTTATAGCCTGAACATATCGCTCCCATTATAGCTGTAAAAAAGAAAAAGCAAACAATAAAAGCCAGGGACAGTCATTAGTGTATCTATCAGTGCAATTTGATGATTAGCCACAATATGAAGAGAACATCCGAGGTAAGATAATGTTGAAATTAAATTGAAAAAAATTAAGTTACCTGTATGAGATTCTTGTTATGAGTAGGAAGAGGAGATCTGCTGAAGGCAAACTGAACAGCTATCCTACTACTACAGCCAGTTGTTTGGGCTATTTCTTCACTTCTGTGAACACCTTCTTTGGCCGATAAATTGAGAGGTTCGGTGCTGGGTGGTACATCGGGTGCTGATGTACTCAACGGCGGGCTTTGCAGTGGTGCACGTCCCATTTTTCGTTGTTCTGGAGGTGTACCTCTTGAAGTGGTACCTAATGGTGTACCGCAACGTGGAGCGTTTTCTCGTAAGATACTTTCACATAGCGCTTGTAAACGCCTTGTCTTCTTGTATTTTAATTTATAAAGATTGTAAATAGCGCTTCCGTTTCGACCACCTGGCATTCGATCTTCCCGCACCGCTTTAATTAAGTGTTAATTAAATTTTTTTCTGAGATATCTCAAGAAGTGATATCCTTGTTTTCGGTTTGATCACTTTGATAAGTAATATTGAAAATGCAAGAAGATAAATAATTAATTATTGAGAACAATTATCCAACAATTGTATTATTTGAATAAACGATCGGGAGTTCTAACCTTCAAGAACCATACCCTGCTGTAAACATTTTTGAAATCGGCAAAATTGGCATCGATTCCGTTGTTCCTTGGTCATTGGACAGCCACCGGTACCACTAACGCATGTGTAGACACGTTTGTTCTGTACTGTTCTCTTGAAGAAACCCTTACACCTGAAATTAAACTTGACTGAAAGTTAAGTTTACACCTGAAATTTATCTGCTAAAGTTCAACTTTAGCAGATAAACTTATTTCGTCTGCTAAATACTTATGAAGAGTTAAAATCGAATTTTTGCTACGGAAATCTTGAAAATACAAATAATGGGACGAAAATTTTATTGATACATTTTCATGCAGATATCTAAGTGGATATATTAAAAGTAAACATGTATTAATTTGACCTTAGTTTGAAGTAAGTAATTCAAAAAGTCATTCTGAAACAAATAATGGAATCGGAAGTAAGTAACTCAGATAGTCATTCTGAGATAATGGCTCAAGTTTTTAAAAATTTTGGAAAATCTTCTACAGGGTTCTAGTGAAATCACTGCAATAAATGTAGTTTTTTTTTTTTTGGGATGATTTACAAGATTTTATTAGACGGAATGGTGAATGTAAATGTAAATGGTTTGAGTGGCAGGTACCGGTACAAAAACAAGCAATAGTAGGAAGTGAGGTATCGTGATGACCGGTTTTGTAGGGCAGGTGAAGAGGAAATGATTTCAGTGAAATAGGTCAGCAGTAAATGCATCTTAGGTGGTTATGTGCAACTTAAAATGTCTATTTTAAGTGCTATTTTGAATGTTCCACGTGAAATATGGTAAAATCCTCTTCAGCGTTTATTTTGGAATGCATTCATTAGTTTATTTCGATTCCAATCATTTCGCAATTATTTCACACATTCCATTTCTCAATCTTTGATAAGCATTCTGAGAAGAGCACCATCGAATCTGTATTTACTTGGAAACTTAACAATTGCAAGAAGTTTTTCTATATTTTAGAATACGATAATTCATCTCTGTTTATGCATTTATCAAGAAATACCTGCTAAAAAAATTGTTAGTATTTTTCCAATGACTGTTTCCTGACAGATTTTATTAAATATTTACAAACGAGCAATAAGAAATAAGCAAAAAGAAAAAAAAAAACACACGTTGGAAAATATTATTTAGCTCAACGATAAAAATTCATTTTTTTTAAAAATCTATTTTAGTAGTAGGGAATTTTATTTTTTGAGAGGATATAAATTTTGTTCTCCCTTCATTGTTAGCTTTCATCCATTTTACTTATTTTCCTATGCTATATTCACTGCTAAATCTAAAGTGCTACATATGAAGTCCATTTTTTTAAATAGTTAAATTGTAATCTGTCATTCCGTCAATAATTTTCATTTATTCTACTAGCGTATTGATTTATTTTATTATTTATTGTCGGAATGAATTCTCAATTATTTCTAATTACATCCTAAAACGCTATTGTCCAATTACTCATATTAGGAAGTCATTTGATGACAATGACTTCCCAATATGAAAGTTGACAAATCGTTTTTCCTTATTCATTTGCTGAATAATCCACCAGGCTATTTTGAGCTAAGTTAAAGGACTGATTTATACAGTACATTTCATTTGCGAATTACTTGCATACAGTATTCCTGCCCTTATACTGCAAGAGGTCATACAATATTCCTGCACTTATATTACAAGATATCATGCAATACTTTTCTATTTATTTTTTCTACGGATTACGTTGATAACCTTTTTTCAGTCCTGTCTTTCACTATTTGTTTAGAAATATTAGGAATGATCTGTACAAAACAATGATTACTGAGTGAACGAGGGGTGTGGAGGAGAAAAGAACTGATATACAGTCATATGATAGGAAGAGTAATTAATGAGACATAGAGGACCAGTGATAAGAAGACACAATGAATATAAGTAACCGAGACTATCCTGACTGACGCACCAATAGTTACAATTACCATTTATTTTTATAAACTGCTGATAAAAGATAAAGGATTAAACTCTTGTATAAGTTTTTTAGAGATATTTCATGATTGAACATCCCAAGATTTTGCTTTGATAAAACGAGTTTATGAATTATGAACCAATTACATTTTGGCGCATTAAAACAAAAAGCAGGTTCCAGCTTATTTTGCAATTTCAGCTTATTTTGCAAAAGTCATTCATGAATTGCTATTTTTTGCAATCATTACACATACAATAACTAATGGAATATTCATATCTAAATTGCGTATAACACAAAATTAACTCAATCAATCAAATGAATATATGTTAATTAAAGGAAATAGAGCAATAATGAATAACATTTTTCACATCTTTACAGATTTAATTATCAATTCATTTTGTCTTGAAAACAGTATTACACAAGAAGAAAAATAAACTTCGAATGTGAAAAGTTTACAAAATCTTGCTAGATGAAAACGTTTAAATAGAACTATAATGAAAACATAAATGATAATTACATAACTTACAAATTCTAGGATATTATTAAAATAACTAATTTCTTTATTAGATTTAAAAAATTTTGCCTGAGAGATATGCATCTTTTGAACAAAAAATGAAAAATATAGACAAATAGAGTGAATTCTCGCGTAATAGTATTAAATGATGACAACCATTCTCGACGGTAAAATAAAATTCAGCAATATGTGCCTATATTTACTGACCTTAATTCAAATTACACCTTGAAAGAATGAACTAAACGCCTGTTTTTATTGCACCATGAACTGCCATCTTATCATCTTTTCAACATTTCAATGTATGAAAAAGGCGGACAATGTAGGTGATGGCCTCAAAAAAAAGATGGAAAGAAGATGAATAACATGAAGATAGGAAGAGAGAAAGATTTGTTCAGAACAGAAAATTTGATAACCCATTTCATACTAATCAATCCCTTTATTAAGCTATGCTTTTCTTTAAAAGCAAATAAGCTCGCTCCCATTACTAATTATCACTATACGATCACTAATAATTAAGACCGCTAATAATTGTTATTGCTATAAGTTAAAATTCTATAAAACAAATACTCTTTGAATTATTATATCATCAACAATTGCTTACTCCCCCCATTTATGAATCCTTTTCCTAATAACTGAACTAGAAACTGCTCCACACAATGACCACAATGATCAACCACCAACATCTGGCAAATTTGTTTCGGACATCTGTCACTATACAGGAAAGTTCTTTTGAACAGACCAAGTTCTATATGTTTTAAAAATTAAATTGTTTACATAATTCTTCAAATTTTGTAATTTACAATTACATATGTTATAAATTTAATAGCGGATCTAATTTTTAAGCAAAATCTTCCTTCTATTAGCATACGCTATAATTAGCATTTATTACTTAGCTTCTTTAGTCTCTTACTTGAATCTCACATTTCTCGAAAACCTTATTGTCGTGATCTCGAATCAGCCTTGTATTTGAAAGGAAAGAAATGCTTACCCTTCACATGTGTAAATGCCGTAATGTAGTCCAGATGATTTGTCGGCACAAATAGCGCACAATAATGGATCATCGTCCAAGTAGTCGGTCATAAGCGCCGCAGTAAACTCTCCTGAACGATGTCCATCTGCTCGTCCATTCCACGTGTACGTGGTATCAGAGCCATTTGACTGAGCTAAAATTATTTGATATCAAAAATACAGAGTTAAACATTATTTTCCTCAAATAAAATATTGGATAGAATTCAAATTGCAACCTGTCAATCAATGTTGGCTTATCACTGCCCACAATCCACACGTACAAAATTTTCAGACAAAATTCAATTAAAAATTTTTCCAAAAGTTATTATATGTGAATAAGGATTGAATTTTATAGTATAATATATTTAAGAATGCTAGCAAAGAGCATTATATATCATAACACTGTAAATTAAATTGACTTCAAGAAAAAATATTGCTGAAAGGATAAAGAGTTTGAAATTATAATATTCCATTTTTTTTTTCTTTTTAAATATAAATAACCAAAATAGGATAAACTATCGTACATACTACGATGAAGGCAGAAATTTAATTTGGTACACATATGCTACGATTGAAAAACGTGATTCGTTAACCTGATGTTAGCGATGGACTGCTCATATTGGAGCTGACGACAGCGGTATTTGGTTCAACGCTGTAATGACTTAGCCAGGAGAATTTGTCAGAACTTCGATCAGATCCAGTTGTTGTTGTTGTTGTTATACGATCCTTTTGTGACGTGCTAGATTGCGATGTTCTTGAACATGACGTTTCCACACTTTGAGGTGAATCAGGGCTTAAAATTTTTCAAATTTTATTTCCCATAATTATTAAAATGTCCGCTGTGAGCTAGATAGTTTTCTGTTAATAATAATTTCAAAAATATGTTTAAAATTGAATATATAATTAGGTTACCGATATATTTATCAGAATATAGCTATAAATAAAGATTAGATCAAAAAATTCAGATGCATCTATTATTTATTTTATTAGCTGCAGAATTGACATGTAATTATAAAAAATTACAAAAAACTATCAGATAATCATAAATATATAAAGATCTGCTTCAAATATTTTTTTAAATGTAATATTTGAAAAGCATTAGAATTGATGCATTCATTTTAAAACGCTCTTCCAGTTCAAAATTTAAACTTTTTAGTATACATTGTACTTTAGTATATATTAATTGTACTTTCAGTAGACAACATCAATAAAATATACATATAAAATCAAACGCGTTGATTAAATTGTCAAAATTCAAATTTTAAAAATGTGAGAAACAATTTTAACTATCAGATAATATCCAGAAAATCGGAAATTATAAAATATTGTTGCAGGTCAACAATAGATGGTGCTTAATATTTCCAATATACTCTTCTTTTTTTGTTCTTGTTGTCCTTTCAGAACAAGTTTTCGACGTATTTTAAAACAGATTGAATTGGGTGATCTAGAAACCCAAGGCACTGTCGCGACAGTACAAGGACATGTAAGACTCTTCGGCTTTGCCAAGGTCATCTTCCTCATTTCTTCCTCGAGAATAAATTATCTAATTTTATCTTTTTCAAAACAGCTCAGCTATTATTCGTGATATCTTTTACAAATTCCCTTTGATAAGTGATGATCTTTTAAATACATACACGGCCAAAAAATACCAAAGGTTGTCAGTTCAAAATTATTAAAGTTAGAAATGTTAATTGTCAATTGAATTACTGGGTGAAATGAAAACCTACGGCCCTTGTGATCTTATGACCAAATAAGAAAGCTCAAACTTTGGAAAATAATAAAAATAGCAGTATGATAAAGAAGATTGGAACAATAATTGTCCAATCTTTTTTTGGTAAGTATGTTAAAAATAAACTTTGTGAATAAAACTGAAAAAAAATGAAAATGAATGCTTTGTTATTTAACTTGAAATAATTTTTTATAATTTAGAAAAAAATCAAAATTAATGCAAAATATACTAAACCTGCATTGTTCTTTCCGGATCGTTTTACTCGTTTCTGGATCCCAACCGATCCGATTTGTTGCAGCATTGGGAGTAATCGAATTACTGATTAAAGCTGTACTTGGTGACAGCGAATGTGAGTTGGAAAGAATGGGTGGTCGAGTGATCTGTGCTAATTGATTCAGATCAAAGCCATGACCCATCTGTGTTAAGTAGTAACTATACAAGGTGAACGGGTCGGTAGCTGTTGTATGTGAATAAGGTCTGAAATAATACTGAATATAATAAGGCAAAATTAAAAGTATAAAGAAAATTTTAAACATTTTCCAAAAGCTAACGTGCGGCATTCTTCAAAAGCACATTTAACGTTGAAACTTTTCGAATAATCATTGAAACTTTTCGAAATTTTTCGAATAATCATTATTAAAGATAGGAGTTAAACAGAGATACTTACTTGATGGGTTGAGGATGTACAATAATGGGATGAGTTACTCTAGAGGATGTGGACGAGGTGATGACAGGAGATCGAAATGCTGACGTCGGCTCTGTACTCATGACTTCATCAACGGGCCTATCCTTACTTCTTCCCTCCTCAACACCTAACCACTTTCCCTTTGCCTGTAATTTGAATACTTCAGAATTAATGTCAATGATTTTTCATTGAAGCTTAGTTTCTTTTGTTTTTCAAATTGGAAACAAAATGAGATGAATATTAAATGACACGTTTAACAAGAAAAAAAATCAATATTTCGATCAGTTTTCTCTCTAACAATGGACTCGTCAAACCAAAAAATATTCCTTGTTTTGCCACCTGGATCATTTGCCGGAAATACTGTGCTGCCGGATTTTCATTGAAAAACACAATACTCGAATATCCAGGATATCAAAATTTTGATAAACAACATATCAAAATTTTGGTGACATTTGTAATCAAAGGAATGATGCATCATCACGCAGCTTAATTTATTGCTGTCATCTTATAAACCTAATTATTATATTTAATTTTAATAACTGCAATACATGATACAAATAAATTACAAACAAAAAGATTTTAAGGAAAATTATTACTGGTAAAAAAGAAAGGAAGAAAAAAACGCGATAAAAGAATGTAGAAGAATGAAGAAAGCTAAATTCAAAAAGGCTTAGTTAACTCTAAATTTGGAAGAACTTTTCTTATCACTATGAGTTATCAGCAATTCTCATGGTTAATCCTTTTTCAATTAGGAGATTGGAATTGATGACGAATTCTTTGGGAGAGATTTTGATCAATTCACTCAGTTGACAATCGTTAATTTGTTCAACTATCAATTCAATATTAATCACTTAATATCAATTTTGCAAATAAGATTTTGCTGTTGTTATCAATAATTTATTATGGTGAAAATAATGGAAACATATTAAACTCTTTGATTTGAGAGGAAAAAAAGAGAAAATATTGAACGGATTTAGCATTCAAACCTTCTGTTGAAGTTTTAAATTTTATGAGAAAGTATTCTAATGTAATCGGAGATTTTAAATTTTGAGTTAAAATTTGGCTAACCTGAAAATATCGTTTTTTTGATTTAGTATAATAGTTATACTATCAACTGAATATTTTGCTTAGAATGAAAATAAGATTTACGGGATAAGGAAAATTGGACAAAAAATTAAAATCAATTGAAGGTGAATTTTAACCAAATTAGTAAGTAATGGGATTGGAAGCATACTTTTCGGACAGTGATAGAAGAGTGAACAGGTGTAATACGTCTTAACATGTAAAGGAGGTTTTGGGGGTCAATTTGCAAAGATGAACGCTCTGGACGAATTTTCCAAGGAAAAAAAGAAGTTTTGTCAGTGATGGTAGGCATATAATTTTGTGGTCTGACACGATCTGTAGGCGGTCGTTTGCATTCAGGAGGGAGAAAAGGATGGAGAAGTAGGCATCTGGAGCGGTATCGTGATGAGACAGATGGAGTTGTCCATTGTTGTCACCATCATCAGGAAGGGCCGATCGTAGCTGGCTGGACCTTCCGAGGACAGCAACAGGGAAGATATGTAGGCCGACCGTGATGTGGCGCGATTGGGCTCAAAGAATGGGAGGCGGGGTATTAGTATAGGGGAAGGGGAGAGGTCATATAGAATGGGGTGCGTAACATCGATTTAGGGAAGGAGTGGAGGTATGTATGCGTAGGGCCACGCTACAATCGTGGAAATTGGGTGACCAACATATCCCGAGACCTTTCTTTCTATTTCCATCTCGTTCCCACTGTGTTTTTCGAATTCTTTAATTAATCTTGTGTGTTATGAAACACGGAGCGCTCTCTCTAATTAAAAAAATGCGCCATTGGACAGAAAGGCTATATGAAGAAGTAATATCACCGCCACTGCTCATCTCTTTTCAGGTACTGAACCTTGAAAAGAGTTGGGAGAAAAGAAAAAAGTCGGGTCATTTATTGTTTATCAACAGAACAATACAGTTTGAAAAGGTGTTACTTTGGATAAGAATTCAAGAAACTCTCCGGGATCTTGAGTAGAGATAATGAAATGATCAGATCAGATCATATCGAATCGTTGACTCATTCAGGACTTATTCGGCCATGTTAACAAAACGAAGGTAATGGATGAAATGTTGAGTCTGAGAGTGTGAATAAAAATTCAATTGCATGTGCGAAAAAATTGAGGTCGTATATTTATTTGATTATATAATCGGCAGAAGATAACAACTGATCGACCTCGACCAGTCCCATCGACCTATCTATTACCTTTACTACCATGACTCCTCCCAAATCTTGCTGACCAACGGCCATTCTCTACTTGGCAACAAATGAATCCCTTCAAAAATATGCATATGGACCCTTGGCAAAGAGGGTTCGCAAAATTTGATGCGCAACCCATTTCGAAAAATAGATACCGTGCAATTGCTGCGTCCCTGAAGATGTAGGGCGATAATGTAATACTTGAAAGTGGGTCGGGTCAGATGGTGTCGTGCCCCTGTGGAAGGCACCGTGAATGACCTATTTTATTCGCCCACCTCATCCACAGCTGGAAAGAAGTGAACTCTTTTTGGGGTTATGTGAAATGCAAATCCTCAAACTCTGCGCTTTTTTGCTAAATCTTATTTTTGCAACTGAAGTGATAATAATCGTTCCAAGTTGAAACAGCAAATTATTACAATCAAAATCAAATATTTCAAGTAAATGTTAGGTAAAGTAAAATTTTTGGATTTAAGAGCAAAATTTTTTATAGAAAGGTACTGAAAATAACAAAGCAATAGGAAGAGAGCTCATTTCGATCATTGCTAATTCTGAGAATATCCAAGAAAATGACAAATGTTAAATGATAAAATATTGAATTTGATTCAATATTCATGGCTTTCTTCCCTTTTTTCAGATTCTTCTTTAAAGAATGGAGACGACAGCAATAGATTAAGTGCAAAATGCAGAGTACCATTATATGAAAATTAAAAAAATTTTTGTAAGCAAAATTAGTGAATTTCCCATTTAGGAGTGGAAAGAAATGTAAATAAGCCGTTGGAAAAAATAATTTTCCTAATTAAACTTACCTAAAAAAACCGTTATTTTGAGGAGTAATGGGCATTTTTTTGTTACTTAAAAATTATCCTCCGAAATTTATGAGAAGTTTTTTTAATTCAATTTAATTTGTAAAGGCTTTAATTGAGAATGTGAAAAATTAATTCACTATCAGTTAATTTTTCACCACCTCAAAAATGAGGCAGGGAGAGGGAGAGAGAGAAAAATGAAGGAATAAACATTGTGACAGGACAAATTTTCTGGAAAAGCATGAAAATTAATTAAGCAGTGAGTGAAAAAGCGGTAGAAATGATATGATTGAAAGAAGTGAAAAACCATGAAAAGAGAGAAACTTTGGAAAATGGACGGAAAGCGTGCAGGAAAGGCGATTCCGAGAAGTGGCGATGACTGTTATCCAGAAGGTTGGACAGTCATCCATCCATCCATCCACCATTCATAGAAGTGATGCTGACCGACCTCCGTGTAACCTCATTTCCACGAAAGTACTAATCCTGATTGCTCTTCGACATCGTTATCATCAACATTACCACCATTACGAATGTGGCGGGTACGGTTAGGTAAAAATTAAATTTGGAAATAAAAAGAAAAGGCAGATGCCAAAAGATGGCTTAAATGATTACCTGATCTTAGCAGTGTAGAAATTAAATGTTATTAATCCTGAAAAATAAGTTAAGTAACTATCAAGGAGAAAATATGATAAAGTTGGAGGAATTACATGGATCTTTCAAATGCAGCAAATACAACAGAGGTATTGTCCATTATATTGGTCACTTTTATTTAAGCATTGTGAAATCAAGACTGAATTTTGATTAATCTTTTTAATTTAAGTAACCTTCTATCGTTACTCAATTAAGTCGGAGTATTAATTAGTATTGTAAGAAATCGTATAAGTGAAGTAGCTTTGTTCAGTGTTTCTTTCGATAATCATTGATATTAAGCAAATTGTTCTAAATATTCCTATGTTTATTTTCATTTTGATTTTTATTAAAAAAAAAAGTGATCATTGAGAGATATTAAAAAAAAAGACCGAAAACAGACAACCGTTCGATAATTGGTTGTTGGTAAGTTCACATTGTAAACAAAATGGTTGACATTTAAAATTGGATTTTTTATTTATGATTTTTGACTAACCTTTGTAATAAAAAATTAATTTTTCTTTAGAAATGAATTATTCTCATCATTTTGGAATAAGTTATCAATTTATGATTACTAATTCAGTTTTCTGATATTTCCGAAATGAGAATAGCATGCTATGAACATATCTTTCTATAAGATATTTTAACGTTTATAAATTTTAATCCGATCAGAAAGTGTTATCTTATAAGTAGCACCAATATTATCTGTTGTGTTAAATATTTACACCTTATTTTTTTTACTTCAATACTCTCTTTGCTAATGCAATCTTTAATATTCCCAAATTATTCTCGCTATTAACTTCAAAAAACACACACACACACACACATACAATCTTTTATGCTTGATTATAAATTTTAACACTAAAAATTTCAAATAAAAATTAGCAAAAAAAGTTTGAAAATTTAATTAATAAACATGATTATCAGTGATGACTAAAATTTAAGCATTTAAGTGTTTATTTTTTTGCTATCATAGTACAATTAAAATATAACATTGTTTTAAAAAAAAAAAAAAAATTAAAATCTCCGAATGTCCGTATCACGGTTTCGAAATGAAATTCTAAAAATTAAATAGAAATTTGGAATTACGTTAGAAAGAGAGAAAGGATGGGAAAAGGGAATGGGAAGGAAGGATGGAGAAGATACTTTCCCTTGTGTTAGTAAATTCCCCCAATTTAACACGAGGGATATTATTTAATGTCAAAAGGTTGCAAAAGATGTCGCGACCCCTATGCCCCATTGTCATCGAGTATGTCAAAGTCGTGCGTACAAATCACCAACATTCGGTCATCAGTGATGATTGCAAAAGGGAAGGTTATCCAGGTCAGTGGGCTACTGGCGCATCCTACAAAATACCTTTTCCCATCTCATCGTTGTTCTCCAAACCAATATCCTCAAGATCATATGTAACTTTATCATGAACTATATTTCAAATTGTTCCTCTTCAATTGCTTATAATAAGCGAATATGTCATTTCATTTCTGCCTTTTACATATGGAAATTTTAAATCTTCTAATTAAATCATACTGTAACTGAGCAAATCAAGTGCTCTGAACACATGTATTTTCAAACTTTTATGAATTTAAATTGGATATTTAAATCAAATAAAAGAAGATGTTTTGAATGATAAATTGGAAAATTGTAATTTATTAAGGATGCGAAAGAAACGCTCATACGTTTCGCGGAAGTATCTTGCGTTGCGTGAAGAGAAACTTCAAGCATTTTCAATGTTTAAGTTACTGATTCATGTATGTGCAATAAATTTGTATCATTTTCATGCAATTACAAAGCAACAATTTTCATATCATTTATTTAAAGGTCAAATGTAAAAAGAATATCACAGCGAGAAACATAAAATCAAATATTTAATAACCCAAAGCTTAGAAAATACCTACTGTAAGTAAAATTCTAGTATTGAAACACTGATGAACTTTCGTGCTGAATTAAGGATTTTGCAAATGCGGTAATTCCAAAACATCTGGAAACTACCAAACAGATTATTTTTGAATATAGCTGTTCCATTCTGTAATAACGGATCAATGCCGAATCACAGCAACTGTGAGAAGAAGATAATGAAATTGGAAAAAAGATAATGAAATTAATAAAGTTCAAATGAGTGTCAATTAATTTTTTCAGTGAAATTAAAAAGCTGAAAATAGATTAAAGAAGGTTTGGTCGATTATTAGCAGTTAAATAAAAATTGAGCATTATTTTTAAAATCTACTATAACATTTCAAATGAAACTGAGATAAACGCGAAAGAAATAAATGCAACTCTTTTCTTCCAATATCATAAGTAAACATAAAGTGACCTTAGCCAAATATATAAGTACTATCTGCTGCTTATCATATCTTTTTATTTTATGTGAACAAGTCTGTGAATGTTTTTATCCTGGCTAATTCATAGGCTTCTTATGGAATAAACGATAGAGTAACTAATAATTGCATCACAATAGCAAATGAAGCCATGGAAGTGATCTGATGGATAACTCCATTATTATTACTACCAGTGATAATCCTTTCTGGTGATATCACGTTATCATCTCCTAATGCTACACATTGTGGTGTTTTTCGACCACAAGCTTCTTCCCAATTCGCAATTGCTTTATCTTTGACCAGTTGATAGAATGGCTCGAATGGTATCCAATGATTTGAATCGCTCAATTCTTCCAATTCTTCAACGTATTCAGCCTGATTGAAAATTCAAATTAAATTTTAGAGATACATCAAACATATTAAACGAAAGAAAAACTTAAGCTATAAGTTTTACACTTTACAGTGCTGTCAACAAAATTTCTCTCAGAAGAGCGGAGAAAAGAGAACAGAAAAGGAATACTTATGGTATTATCAATCAGTGAACATTTAATTAAGCGTCATAAATTTACTGTCAAGAGAAAAAAGATTCTATTCATATCTCAAAGTTTTATTATTTTTTCTTTAAATCATTAGAAAACAATCCTTATCTAGCTTATTCTAATAATAACTAGATTAATGACAGCTAAATAATTAGATACATATAGCATAGTTATTATCATTGTTATTGTTACCTGCCGAATGATATGTCTATCGATGGCTAATGCTTCATGATATAATAGTCTAATGGATTTATCAGGTTTGTCGCGATATTCTATTAAAAATCCAGCTGTTGTGTCCAGAAAAGTTTGATTTATTCTTAATAACTTCATCACTGATAATGTCGCTTCCAAATGCTATAAGCATATTTTGATATTTTTAGAAATTAGTTTATAAAATAGACATGTTAATGTAATCGCAATTGTTGCTACGAATATGCCGTCTCTCCTTAATTCTCTTATCACTCCTATTCTATCAATCTTTTCATCTCTCAATTTATTTGCAATTTTTGCTTTAAGTCGCTTCTTTATCGTTTCTACATACTGTATCAGTAAGCCGAAGTTTTTTTTTATTGTCTTTCAGTGTTATCTGTGAAAATCACAACTTCGTACATTCTCTGAAAAAAGATAACTTCGTATATTATCATAATGTCCGAGTTATCAAAAGAGAAAAAATTCACTCTAAACACCTCATTACTATCTTAATTCATCAATGGATAGAGTATCATCAACCTTACAGTATCACCAATCAATTAATACTATCGAAATTAGCTGCTTATTCAGTGAAATATCGATATTACGGCTGCATGCTACAATTACTCTTCGAGCTTTGTAATGGACGCATATTTAGATTAGTAAAAAAGTGCTTTACTACTTTTGCATGATAATTTCTATTTATTACAAGAATAGATCATTTTATAATCGGATTATCTTATGCAGTAAGAAATGGATTATGTACGATATAATCCACGACAGTTAACGATCGATTTGACCCGAAAAGAATTTGCGCTTCCTAAAATCGAACTTCTACCGAAAATAAATGTCATGTCAATATCTGCTCCTTGTCTAAATTTTGAATACTTAGAGCTTTTTGAATTTCAGCAAAAAGTTACATCTGAGAAACAAACCAATGAAATAAATCGAAAATTACAAAATATTCAACCAATTGATAGAAAGAGCTTAAATCTTCGTAACGCCTCAAAGATTGAATGAATTGAGCAGCAAAGATTTACCTCTTAGGTGATCTGATGAAATCATCTGATGATCATGATCTCTCCCTAATTGACTATCATGTCTGCTGTTATTTAACAACTTCTTCCAAGAAATAATTGTTTCAATTTTTACTTCAATCAATAAAAATGTACTTAAGTTTGACAATTAATAGTATAAGGCCGCTGCCTTCTTTTTTTTCCTCATTTATATTATCCATTTTTGGCTATTTATTGAACTTATTCTCAAGTTATGAGATAAATTCAGGCAAACATCTAAAAAGCAATTTCATAAATGTCGAGATTTCGTTATTGCTTACACTTCATGCATAGGTTACTTATAAGTCATGAAGACTTACCGAAACATAACCGATGAATTTTTGAGTTTGCTGGCCATCAGCAGTATTACGGAGAGTGGTTAAAATATGGTTGAGCCAAATACCACCCGTAATATCGCGACAGGGCTCGTAGTTGACACAGGTAAGTGAATGCTTCTCTAGGAACATCATTGTCGCTTCTTTCAGTGACTTCTTGTCAAATTCTTCCAATGTTGGCCGTTCAATCCAATCCGGTAAACTTGTATTGTATAAATTCTAAAACCTCAAAAAAATTCGCTTCAAATAATGGGTTGTAAATAATAATATACAGCTAGAGTTTCAGTAACATTGTTCCTGTGATTCTTAGATACTTTGATAACTTAAAATTTTGCAAATCATTCGAAATTTAAATAAAATATTAAATTTTGTTCAAAAATTTTTAAATTGAAACCACGATTGTCGAAACGAATTTCTTTGAAATCTATCCTTCTTGTTTTCTTTTTCCATTTCACACTCAATAATTAGAGTGTATATAAATTTAGCGAAACGGAATTGAAGAAAAAACGTAGCATTAATATGAGGAAGCTGTAGTATCAAATATAAAAAGAAATATAAGTACAAATATATA